TTTTCACCATTTGCTTCATGCCACCAAAAGTTTGAAGAGATAGATGTCAGGTTCCCGCACAATTTCTTAGTGAGTTGGAAGCAGCTCATGGTGAACGTAGGGACAGATTGGAGCACCGACTTGACCAGCACCTCACGAGCCTTCTTGGACATACCCTGCCCTTTGTACCCAGTAACCTTTCCCTTAGCACTTTCCCGGACATATTTAAAAGTCCCTTCTTTGGACCTTCCAACCACAGTTGGTAAACCCAAGTATTTTTCACTCAAAGCCTCTGATTGGATCCCAATAATCTCCTTGAGATGCTCCTTATTCTCTTCTGTACTTCCCTTGCCAAAGAAGATGGATGACTTTTGCATATTTACCTTCTGTCTAGAGGCTACTTCATAATTATGCAAGATGGTTTTGAGAGCCTCCAGGTTACTTTCGGAACCCTCGAGAAACACAATGCTATTATCAGCGAAAAGCAGGTGAGTTACCGTGGGGCCAGTGCTCCCAAACGATACCCCCTTAATGTCACCAATCTGTTGTGCATTTTTTAGCAACGCTAAGAAACCTTCCACGCAGAACAAAAACAAATATGGTGACAGTGGATCGCCTTGTCGGAGTCCCCTCGAGGGCAGAAAAGTGCGTGAGATTCCCCCATTAAGCTTCACTGAGAACCTTGTTGAAGTCACATATTGCATAATCATTCGTACCCACGCAGCAGCAAAGCCAAACCTTTCCATCATTCTCTCCAAAAAAGACCATTCCACCCTATCGTACGCCTTCATCATATCCAACTTGATCGCGCAGAGTGGCTTCTTCCTACTCCTCTTCCTGATAGCATGCACACACTCATACGCCACCAATATATTATCCATGATGAGTCGTCCCGGTACAAACGCACTTTGCTCCTCCAAGATCAACACGGGGAGGATAACTTTTAATCTGTTTGCGAGCACCTTCGTAGCTATCTTATACAACACATTACACAGGCTAATCGGTCGGAATTGTGACATTAACTCCGGTGAGTTTACCTTAGGGATCATCACAATCACTGTATCATTGAAGCTGTCGGGCGCCGCAACACCATATAAAAAGTTCTTCACTGCCACGCAAACATCGCTCTTCGCCAACGACCAGTGTCGTTGATAGAACAACGCCGGGAAACCATCTGGCCCCAGTGCTTTTGTTGGACCCATCTGGAATAGAGCGGTCTCTATTTCCTCATCTGATATACCCACCGTCAGTTTTGCATTCATCTCCTCCGAGACCATCGGGTCGATATGTTGCAATAGTAGCTCTGCCGCCTCCGATCCCTCTGTGCTGAAGAGGTTAGCATAAAAGCTTGCAGCCACCTCACGCATCCCATCATCCGTCACACATCTGGTCCCGTCATCCCTCATTAGCGCCTTGACCGTATTCTTTCTCCTTCTATGAGAAGCTCTATTTTGGAAATACTTTGTATTTTGATCTCCCCATTGTAGCCAATCAATTCTGGAACGTTGCCGGTAATATATTTCCTCTTTTTCATACAGGTCATGAAGCTGACTTTCAATATCTTTAATCTCCTGAAAATACCCGGTCTGCAGCGACCTTTCCTTGGCATCCTTCAGTTGCAACTTAAGCTTTGAAATCTGTCTACGTAATGAGCCAAACATCTCCCTGATCCATTTCTGCATGGCCTTGGTCATCACACCCAGTTTGGTGCTCATGTCCGCTGTCTCCCCAAACTGCTGATTGGTTTCCTCCCATGCACGTGAAATCATCTCATCATAACCCTCATGACGTGTCCATGCTTCCTCAAAGCGAAAACCCCTCGGGTCCTTGCTCCTAGCTGTGTCCAGTGACACTGCTGCTCTAATCACAAGTGCCGCATGGTCTGACTCTTCTGTTAAAACATGTTCCACCATAGTCTCCGGGAATGCTTGAAGAAACTCATCATCGCATGTGGCTCGATCAAGACGAACTTGTATATTTCCTTCAGCATCTTGCCTATTATCCCACGTGAACGGGTACCCGGTAAACCCCAAATCCGCCAAGCCGCAGTCAGCCAGGCATTCTCTGAACCCCTCCATTTGGTTAAAACACCTTAAGTTTCCACCTCACTGCTCTGTTTGGAAAAGAATCTCATTAAAATCCCCCGCACAAAGCCAAGGTAAATTGTCTTGTCTCCTCAGATAACGTAAAGCTTCCCATGTTTTATTCATGTGCTCCGTACGAGGTTCCCCATAGATTCCAGTGAACCTAAAGGTTCTACCCTCATGTGACATCTCCGCATCAATATAGTATTGGCACTACGGTCGGATTTTAACCTGGATAGTGTCTCTCCACCATAAAGCTAAGCCATCACTTTTGCCCATGCAGTCCACAACTATACCATTCCTAAACCCCAAACTCCATCTGACTTTTTCCATAGCTCTCGCCTTCTTTTTTGTCTCGCTCAAGAAAACCACCGCTGGGTTGTAAGACCGTATCAGGTCTCTAAGCTCGCCCACCGTCGGGTCCAACCCCAGTCCCGACAGTTCCAGGCCAAGAAATTCATTGGTCCCGGCGGCCCCGGAACTCGGGGTCCGCCGATGTAGCTCCATGATCACCGATACGCTCAAAGACCGATGACACTTTCTGTCGTTTATCACCAGAGAACATATCTGCTCCTTCCCTCCTGGCCCCTTCCCCTTTTGCTACCCATATCTGTTTTGATGAACGTTTTTTCTCTTTTGGCACATACTGTTGGTAGCTCTCCCGCTGTCGGGCAGTACCATCATCCCTCCTTGGTTTACGAACATAATACCCCGGCCGCCTCTGCTGCCCCATACTTGGTCTCTCTCCCTGAACTTGCTACCTCCCACTGAACTCCGGAGAGATGATTCCCTCTCTGACCCTTTGGTGCAGCTCATTGCGTAGATTCCTTTCTCTCCTTTCCTCTAAGTCATCCCGTAGATCCTTTTCCTTCTCAGCCCTTGCACCAGTGTGCGATTTTTGTGGGCTGATCACTTCATCGTGCTCCTTCCCTTTGTTCTGCACCCCACCAGTGTGGGAGTCAGCTGAGGGTGTGTACTCCCTATAGAGGGGTCAACGCATTGGAAGATCTCTAACAAAGCCCTGTCCTTTCGAGCCATTTTCTCCTCCACTTGACCTTGAACTTTCCTTACTAAAACCCATGCTTGAGCTTCCCCTCCATTGCTTTTTTTCATGGGCACCCGACGAGGACCTACCTGGTGAGGCACGGAGCCACTCTCCCCAGTGGGAAAGCGGGTCAACTGGTGGTTCACATCGTCCATCTACATGCACAAGCCTTCCACAATCAAAACAAAAATGAGGAACCCTCTCATAAGCAAAATCAAACCACGTTTTCTCTTCATCATCCGGTTTCTTCTTCAGGTAGAAGCCGCGAACCAACGGATCCTGCACTGCAATTTTGGTCCTCACCCTGAGCTCCGTTCCTCTAGCCAGCCCATCTTCCCCAACATCCACTTTAACTACTTTACCCAGCCAATTTCCTAGAGCCTCTCCAAACTCCTTGGTTCTTTTGTCCAAAGGTAGATCACCTACCCTTACCCAGACGTCAATTGTGTTGAAAATCATCTCAGACGGCCTGGTCACACCATCATAGTCCTTCAGCACCACTACGTTGAAGTCGAACTGCCATGGGCCATTATTCAGGGCATGCTTCCAGTCACCCTCACTTCCAAACTTGATCATGAAGATATTGCCGCCCAAATCCTTAAATTGGGCTTCTCGATGGAGTCCCCATGCCCTCTGCATCGCTCTTTCAAAAGCATATCTGTTCAAGGGACGCGGTGAAAACGATTTCCCCACGACCGCCCACTTCACGTCCTGCTTCTTCCTTGGCCCCGGCTCGTCGAACACGAAACCAGCCGCCTCCTTTTCAGTCAGCGCTAGTCCTCCCATCTTCGCTGACAGGGTCGCGGCCTCCTCCGACACCTTGCCATCAGCCGGGGATCCCGGAGATCCCCTCTTCGCGGATGCGTTCTGCCCTGTCGCCAGCGCCACATCCTTTTTCGTCGGAGTCGCCGCCTGTGAGGGAACACCCCCTCCCTTGCTCGATGCAGACGCCATTGCCTCGCCTTCGAGAAGGAAAACCCGCGCCGTAGCCAGCCGAGATCACAACGCCGTCGCCGCGATCCCGCTGCCCGGAGATGACCACCACCCTACGTTCAAACCCTAACCCTAGGCGCCGCCTCCCGATCGCCTAGCGATCGCCTCTCGGTCGCCCCTTAGAGAGAGAAACGTGGTGGACCCGCTTTCATTTCCCGTCAACTTCGTACGTAGTCTCGACGAAAATCTTAATCCAAGCTCTTAGATGAGGCGCAGCCTACATAAAATGAACGACGACAGTGTTGCCAAATTTCCTGCAGTGGCACGACAAACACTGGAATATGGGTGATACTCGCGACGGCAACCGCCACAAGGCCAATCCTTCACCTACCATGTTCCTCAACACGAATCCATCCCTTTCACGATTCTCATTCTTCAACGCAAAGGATTCGCGAGACAACACGCCAATGAGATCGCAGCGACGGATGCCGGATTTCGGGTCCCCGGAGCCGGCGCCCGACCCAGCAGGTTCAGGCTCCTCTCTCTCCCTCACCCAACGTCCGTCCGAACGTGCGCACCGTGACCAGGGCCGGGCCCCGCTCCACGTCACGTACATATCACCAAACACGGACCTCCGTGCGCTACACCCTCCTGCACCGACCGGCGGGCGGGCCACGTGGGGCCGACGCGACGGCGACGGTGCAACCCACGAGCGCCGGGTGCACGGGTGCCGCCACGCTTCCCGGGCAAGGAGGGGCAGGCAGCGGCACGCGCTTAATTACGCGACCAAACGGGCGCAGCCAGCAGCCATCCCTCTCCCTTTCCTTCCCCCCTCTCTCTCGCTCGTCTTCCTTGCCCCCTCGCGCAACAGCAGCGCCACAACGCAGTGAGTGGCACTTCCGTGATTTCGCCGCCGCGGGGGCGGGGGGAGGAGGAGGAGGAGGAGGAGGAGGGAGGCCATGGGCAACGCCAGCGGCAGGGAGGAGGACGCCGCCGCGCCCGGGGAGGCCGACGCCGCCGACGTCGACGTTGAGGACGGAGGCGACGACTCCTCGGCCCGCGGCTTCCCTCCCTACGGCGGAGGCGCCAACCACGTGCGCCGTGCGTGCTCGGTGGGCGTCGTGGGGGCCAGCGGCGGGCCCGGATCGCCGCCCGGGAGCCCCGGCCGCTCCCTCTCGCCGCGGATGTTCGTGCCCCAGGTCAGATCACCAGATCCCGCACCCTCTTCTCCATTTCCTTGCTCGCTCTACTGCTACACAGTTTGGTTCGGTTCGGATGCCTAGTTTCCCCCCTGCTGGTGCTTGTATGTGATCTCCAGATGTGGAGGTTCCACTGATTTCGTTGGTTGGTTGGTTGGTTGGCCTAGGGTCCCAAGGTGAGGAGTGGTCGCGATCTGGAAATGGCTCGGTATCCTCCAAATTCACTTTTAGCTAATGCTGCCCTTGCTGTGGATAAACTGTTTGATCCCTGCGCGAGAATAGAGCAAAGGAGCGCAAGCCTACTTGCTGCTACTTCATCTTAGTATTACTGATTGTAATGACAATGCAGGAAGACACCAGTTGTGTTTATCTTGCCTAGTTTCACTTTGGCAGTCGCTTGTGCGAGCTTGATTGTTTTCTCCTAAGCAGCAAACCGTTTCAGAATAAGCTAGTATGCTACTTGGACAGTAAATAGGGTGGTTCTTTTATGTGCAAACTGTTGAATGGTCGTTTGATTGTACAGAGTTTTTATGGGTTTTGCTGTTCTGATTAAAACTTTACATGAAGCAGATTGGTTAGTTCTAAAATTTTCGTTTGCCCCTTGCCCAATAGTTACTTTAGGTACTGTAATGGTGATGTGTAAGTTAGTCATGAGAATGATGTCTCCGTTTGGGCTGTCCAAGGAATTTATAGGCTTTCTGTTAGGGCTCTGGTTCATATCGACACTGATACTGGTTTTCAGACCATGAATTTAGATGCTTTTCAAAATGAAATTAATACTCGATATACAGTCAGTCGTGCTTCAAGTCGTGCCTAAGCATTCAAAGGAAAAATACAGGATTGATTTGTTCAATTAGAGCCGGCGACCTGATGTATATATTTTTCTATTATTATGGCTGAAGATTGGATTGGTATGTCAGTCACCTTCTCATTTTTTTTCTCAGTGTCATACTGTCTATTACTTCTGAACCAACCCTTCTGCTACAATCCTGGGATTATGCTATCACTGTCTGCAGAATGTAGATCTCTTCTGGTGCATTGACATCAAGTATTCTATATGATGTAACAATGCGTGAGGATTTTTTCCATTCTCTTGGGTAATGGCCATAAGGATTGATTAAACTGAAAATAATTGAAGCAACTAAATATATGCAATTAGTAGTTGCCACAGCCTCTGCTCAATTTATCAGTTTTCCCGTTGATGTCACTAGTAAAGCGGACACATCCAAATCCATGAAACGAGTGTATCGAGGCTTACAGCATGACTATCCTGCTTAGCTTCGGAATGGCACAATATGATGTTATCATTTTTCTGTTTTCAGTGTATTTGCATGTTAATACCCTTTTGCCCTTTCTTACCTTGAACATGCACCCAAATCATTTTTCCCTTTACTTGGTAGAACCATATGAATCACAGTAGGTGCACAGATGGAAATGAGAAAATTCTGTTGCATCTAGACGAACTGCAAGCATTATAAGCATAGGGATAAAACATGACAGGGAATATTTTATTCTAGTGAAATATGCAGAACGTCAAATATTTGTGTATTCATTTATTGCTATAAAACAAGGTTAGATACAACATATGCATTAAGACTAAGTGTGTTCTCTCCTAGATACAACCTTAGACACACCAAAACAATGGATGTTTTATGCATTAAGACTAAGTGTGGATCTCTTAGGTTGTTGCCAATACATAGTTTCTATAGCAGTTCGGGACTAAGGAGTCCAATCGTATTAGAAAAGGTCCAGAGGCAAAATAGACGATATATAAGGAGTCAGGCAAGAACAATCAATCTACCCTCAAGTTATTCTCTCATTTAAACCTATGTCTACCCAGTCCGTCACAGCCATGCTCGTCTGGCTACAGCACAGTAGTTACCCCGTGGTGAATCAAGGTTCGCAACAATAGCTATATCTAGGAGAGAGAACGCGTAGATATTGGAATAGCTTTGCTAGTTTTGGTGAATCAAGGTCTAGTCTTCATGCTGTGGGTGAATCAAGGTTCGCAACAATAGCTATCCCAACCTTGGAATAGCTTTGCTAGTTTTGGTGAATCAAGGTCTAGTCTTCAAAGTGCATAACTAAGAAAAGTTGTAGACATGTGGTGAATCAAGGTTCGCAACAATAGCTATATTAGGTTTTGGTAGTCATGCTGTGACTGATCTAAAAGATCTGTTCTTCATGGTTAACAATACGGATTACTGCGACTACTGACTACAACTTTTCTTAGTTATGCACTTTGAAGTATAGGGCAGATACAGATATTGGGCAATTTATATTGTCCGGGGTTGTGATATAAAAGATCCAGTCTTAATGGTTTACAATATGATTTCTGAGACTATTGACTAAAATCTTTCTTAGTTTTGCACTTCGAAATGATAGAAGGCCAGAGACTAGATATTAGATCATGGTTTGCTAGATCAATACATCGTAGTAGTGTTATATTAACACAAATACAAGTACTTAGTTGATTCTGATACTACTAAATCTTGTAAGTGTTGATGTCTTTATTGCGCATAGGCTAAATATTGATGTCTTTATTGTGTATATGTGTATTCTGAGCCATTTGGTAAGAAAACCAAGCATTTCTGATGTAAGGTATTTCTTTCAGTTGCCAGTAACTACTTAACTAGTATATAAAGCATATCAATAGAGTCTCAAAACTTAATGGTAATCAGCATTATCTTATCCTGGGATTTGCTAAATGACTAAGATGGGTTTTGTTATCTGTCATTTATAATCTCTACTTATCTGTGTTACCCTACTCCAAACGTTTTCATCTATCTTTTTTTAGGATAAAATATTTTCATCTATCTAATATAAATGTTTGCATCCTTTTGTGTCATATGTTTGTTCAGAGAGGATTAGTATCTTTAATGTGTGAAGCAAGAACATTCTTTGTATTGATTACTACAATTTTGCAGACACCTGTACCTCCATTGCAAAGACCTGCTGATGTAACTCCAGTGTTCAATGAAATACTGATGAATGAACAAGAAGAAGAATTTGATGGCCCTCCTCAAAAGGAAATACCTGCTTTGGTTGTTTGGACTCTCGGAGGAAAGAATGTATCTGTTGAAGGATCCTGGGATAACTGGAAATCAAGGTAACTGATTAACGCAAAACCGGAACTACTGCACATATGATGAACAGATATACATTTTTTTACGATCTGTTAATCATGGACTGCGCTTTGGTGCCTTAAGGCACCTGCCTTGGTGCCTATGACATGTGAGCCCAACAGGTGGCTGGCCCACATGTCAGGGATCCAAAGGCAGGTGCCTTTACGGTGCTGAAGCAGCGTCCGTTAATCACACTATATCCTTGATTACGGACCCACTGGCCATTCGTTGGTTTGACTGATAATAATAAAATTTATGGAAATACACCGTGTATGTGTTCAATGCAAGACCTCATCAGTAAAACTGTAACTCTGGAATGCAGGAATTTTTATTCTGATGTTCATACGTGCATCGCAGGAAACCAATGCAGAAATCTGGAAAAGATCATTCTCTTCTGTTGATCCTTCCTTCTGGAGTTTATCGTTATAGATTTGTTGTAGATGGAGAGAGAAGATGTTTTCCTGACCTTCCATGTGAAACTGACGCCATGGGCAATGCTGTTAACCTTCTTGATGTTCATGTGAGTTTTCTTCTGCAAGGATGAAACCTTTTTTTTCCCTCCTTGACCAACATGCTTGCGAAGAAACAAATTGATCAGATGCAAATATATTTTATGCAACTTATCGTGACTCGCACTTGGTTTTAGCTTGACTCAAGTTATGCATCCTATGCTCTTAGATCAGGTTATAAATAAATGTGAAGGAACTAGAGAGGCTGTTCGCTCCATGATTAAACCGACAAGAGTTTGTACAGTTGTCTGGAAGGACCTGTTCTGTATTAATTGCACTGATTCTTATATTTAATAGGTGTTGATTATTGCCTTAAGTTCGGTGCTGGTTAAATATCTGTTTATGGATATGGAGTACTTGAATTCAAGAATTGAAATTATTGCATTGGCTGCTACTCCGTATTTTTCTTGGCGATTAATTACGTACTATTGGTAATAAACAATATGGGACTTATAAGGAACTTAGATGTCAACTTGGGATTAGCAAAACTAATAATGACATTTGGAGCAGTTATGGGATTAAAGAAAGCAATATAGCTACATTCAGCCAATTGTAAATATTCATGTTGAAATTGCCCCTTCCATTGTCCTCTTAAATTTTGGAATTTCTTTTCATGCGTGCAGGATTTTGTTCCTGAAAGTGTTGAAAGTGTATCAGAATTTGAGGCTCCTCCATCTCCAGAATCTAGCTACAGTTTCCTGGCACCCGAGGAAAAGGACTTTGCGAAGGAGCCACCTGCTCTTCCGTCTCAGCTTCACCTCGGCGTTCTTAACTCACAGAACTCAGAGGAAATATGTGCACGGCCCCAGCACATCGTCCTCAACCACCTTTTCATTGAGAAGGGTTGGGGTGCCCATCCGCTGGTGGCTCTTGGTGTAACCCACAGATTTGAGTCCAAATATGTAACGGTCGTCTTGTACAAGCCCATAGAACGATAGCATAGCAACCGCATGAAAGTTGAAGCTAATGCTTGACAACTCACCGCGAAAGCAGCAACGAACAGCAACATCGTGGCCTCTCCCCCTGTAAAAGCACTTCAGGTACAGGAATATTTTCGATAACTTGCAGGAGCTTCTAGTCGTGATATTGCTCCCCTTCTGTATGCCTCTTGGCGGATGGCCTTATCGTCGTGAGTTCATACATATACTTGTGTCGTTGTTGTTTCCAACCCCTCGGGAATGATACGTGTAGAATTGTCACCGAAAAGTGAGAAGTGAGAACAGTGGGAATCACCTGAAACGCTAGGCTTCAGAGGTAGATGTTGTGATCCTTATTCTTGATTGTGTTTTCGTGGTGATGATGGTGTTGTGTAATAATACAAAGCTACCAGTTACGGATTTGGATCTGTCAACCTTGTGCTCTCAGGCTGCATGCTGCCATTGTTTCTGCGTTGCCACTGTTTTATGCACTGGTTTGCTTTGCTTGTTCAGATGTTGCGGAGAACATGAACCTTGTACACAGCAGTGGACAGATCGAAGTTTTACAAGTGTCATTCTGCTGTCGCTGCTGCAGAAGCGTGGCAGGCTGTTCAAATCACCTGGAAATTCTAGAAGGCATTCGTGTTGATAGCGTCGGGGCTGGGAACAGTTGGCGCCACAAAGAGCAGAAGGATTATGTGCGGGTAAAGAAGTGCGAAATCTTTCCTCGTATCACCTCCATTGCGACTGAGCCAGGGTGAGAAAGTGACGGGACATCCACGTTGGGTGGGTAGTAGTGGCACAGCATCGCTCGCTCCAGTAAAAAAAAGTAACTAGATGGGGGGCAGGCAGCACCCAGTCGACTGGAACGGATCATTCTGGCTTTGCAGCGTCGCCGCAGTGGCTGGCTGCACGCCTATCAATGATGCATGTCTGCCTCCCCTTCCCGCCTGCGAGCCTCCTCCAGTACACATGACACAATCACACAACGCGACCTCTGTCTCCGTCCTCTCCATCTCTTTCACCATGATTCGGTTCGGCCGCTGTGGCGCCAGTTGAATGGACGCGCTCGGTCGGCCGCGTCCTTCGGCTCCTCGCTCTCACTGTCACCGTCGATCGATCGGGCTCTGCTCCCTGCGCGCGTGTGTTGTGTGTACCGGTGTCGCCCCGCCTCCGCGGGGACGTCCTCTCCTCGGCGTGCAGTGCACACAGCCAAGTGACCAGGCATGCATGAGTCCCGCGTGCTCAGACGCCAGAGGTCCCGCCCCCGTCGTGCTCGTATCCTGCTCCCTGACCGAGAATCTCGGCGCAGCATCATGAAGCAACAGTCAAGGCGTCAATTATTGCTCTACTCTGCCCAGGACCCTCGATCCATCCACTCGAGTCCTGACGGCAGGGATTGTTCGGATGTTTCATGTAGGCCACGCGCTTTACTGCAGCTCGGTAGCCAACTTTGGATCGCCGAGGCTAGTGCTTAGCTTCCTCTTCTCTTGCCCAATACCGGCCATAGATTTGTCCGCCACAAACATTACTGTCGTGCATCGCTTCGTGGAAAATCATCCGCAGAGTAGCTTGCAACCAAAAAAAGCCCCGCAATGATGCCACCGGATTCCACAAACCGAGTGCTAGTGTTGCAAATTACATCACCGTGTGGCAGAATTTGATCAGTACATAACCACAAGCACATACCAAGTTCTATCATGTTAAAGTTTCAAAAAATAAAGTTCTATCATGTTAAGATTTAAACCATTTCTTATTTTTTTTCTTTTCTGAAAAGGGCCTTAACAGTTGATGAATAGAGCGAAAAATTTTCTCGCCAAAAAAAAGAAAAAAAAGGGTCCGGATCTATTATAAATGTTTATTCGAAGGACGCCGATAACTGCCACACGTGTGGCATATAGGGGGTTGTGCCGCATGCCCTGTGTGCCACAGAGACAAACCCGCCCGCACGACGGTGTCCGGGCGCACGCAGCCACAGCCCGCACGTCGGGTGTGTGGCAGAATCGCCCACACGTCCGGGCGATCGACCGCGCTGCCCGCACGACCCAACGCGCCCGTCGTACCAGCCTGCTTTCGAACCCCAGTGCGACCTGCGCCGTCGTCCCCTACCTCTCGATCCCAAACCACCATCGTCTTCCTTCTATAGTTGCCATGGGAACCAGACCATATCTATAGCGCCTCACCACCCCTCACCCCCACCCCACCCCGCCCCCCAGCGACGATGAGCTAACAGGTCGATCTCCGATCTCCTCCTGTTTCTTGTCCTTCTTCTATCCAGAAAATTGAAATTCCACGTTGCCCACGAAGATGGCGACTAGATCCAAATTGTCATGGCAAACACATCATGGATTTGTGTGTATTCCCCCTCTGCCCACCAACATATGCCAGATCTGCCATGTTCTATCCTAAATTTGAACTAAAATTATGGGTTGGGTTGTTGCGAGTAGTTGATTCAAAAGGACGTATAGAATTCACTAAAATTAGGGGAAGAAAGGAGGAATTTGGGTGGTGCCTAGGAAGGGAGAAAATTAATTGCCACTAATATCTGATGTTAGTTGCCACCTATCTTTGTTGTCAGCTGCCACCATGTTATGTTGTTGCTTGCCATCATATTATCTTAGCTGTTGCCATCGGTGTAAAATGATAAGTGGCATCGAGATTTTAGAAAATAGAATGAATGTGCATGTCCTACTTGCCATGATGTGTTGGTTGTCTACACAAGAAATGTGATAAAATTATCGTGTTATCTTGTATGTGCAAACAGCAAGAATGCATTTTGCGGATATTGATGCATTCTTGTTCATGCAGTGACCGAAAACACAGTGGCAGAAAAAGCGGAAAAATGAATCATGAAGACGGCACCGATCCTTGGTTTTCTCAAAGGCCGGAAACGCCCCCTTGGGATGTAGTAGAGTACAATAAACTCATTTCTGCAGGGCCGTTACTGCCACTACTAGAGCAGTACACGAGTATTGGTATGATGCATGATAAAAAAGGGACAGTTGCCATGTTTGTGACGAGGAAAATGGCATTCTACTTATGTCCTACAATGTCATTTTTCGCAGGTTCTTATGACCCAACCACACACACAGGGATACCATGGCAAGTTCAGGCATAGGGCGCTAACGCTGACAGATGTGCGGGCAACCAACTTCAAGTATTCAACGTGGCAAATTAAGATAACGCATACGAAAAAGAAACATACTGGTGCGACCAGGAAATTAAACTTGCAAGGATGGCAAAGACTTACAAGTTATATGGGAAAATGCAGGACCTTCATGCAGCAAGTGGCAACAGGCGGCAACCATGTACCTGCCATCAACGTCGTACACAGGTGAGTCGTATGAAGTGATTTTGTGGACAGGGAATCCGGTGAAGGAACATAGGTGGCATTGGTGTTTACGTGGTGACTTGGCAAAACACAGTTGCCGTGTCTGGACAGCTGCAGTTGCCGTGTCTGGACAACTGCAGTTGCTATGGCAAGTCAATTGAAGTTACCATGTGTAATCAAATGTGATTGCAATGTCTAAACAACTATGGATGACAAGTATGAACAAATCTGCGTGCTATGGTTGAACAACTACATGTGCCATGTTGTGCAAACTACAGTTGCCATGCATTGACCAACTACTAAAAAATGATCGCAGGTTGTTATGGTGGAACCACATCGGCAAACGTATCATGGCAAGCTTCACAGTTGCAGGCCAACGCTATTACAGATAGAGCACAACAAATTGGAATGATAGACCAAATACGATTAGCACATGCAGCACAACAAGGTAAAAAGTGTGAACCAGCAAAATAGTAGTGCATTTGCTTTTGTGGAAAAGCATGGGGGAAAGTGGATTTGTCACGGTGGTGGTGGGAAAACAAAAAAAATGCTACCAAGTGGAAGCGTGCAAAAATAGTCATCTACTTTCTTCTAGATTTGTCAATTGTTGTATGCATGTGCGCAACATTTGTGATTGACTCCATTTGCCTAGTGAGCTCGTACCTAGAATCCATGTTTTGATGCTAAAGATGTTGGTTGCCATGCCTTGGCAACATTAACTGCCATGTTTGTTAGACTGTAGCTGCCATGGCTGAAAAACTGCACTTGCCATGCATGGCCACATGCAGATGCCATGACTTGTTATATAAATAATGTCATGCCAAATCAGATGCAACTGCTATATTCCGTTACGATAAACCTGCCATTGAAATAGTGCTTACACGCGCACCTGTTTTTTTTCAGGACCTTCAAGTACAATCAAGAGCGCCGCGGGGACATCTACTGCGGGAACCTCTGAGCACAGGAAGAAGCATTCCACCAGCCAGCCAACAATCCTGCCACAACAATGCAGAATCAGTGTCAGAAATGGCAATCGTTCCAGCAATGCAGACAAGCACACCTTTACAGACCAGCACAAGCAACACTCAAGTAGATGAAACAACCACCGATACTGAAGTGAATGATGAAACTGATGACGAAGCACAAGGGGATGAAGAAGATGGGCAATCAGAAATCATGGTACCTCAACCACCGTATGTTGGGTAGGGATTTGGTTCGTTTGAAGATACCAAGGAATTCTACCAGAGATATGCAATGTTCCATGAGTTTGTGGTGAACACTGAATACCATAGGAAAATAAAAAAACTAACGAATACAGCAGAGGTGAGATAAAACGCTACAAGGCACGAAGGAACAAGAAGGGTAAAGGTGCTGCGCCTGTCGTGCCGGAATGAAAGAGAGGCATCATTGTCAAGACGGAATGCCCTGTCCGGTGTAAGCTAAATGCAGATGGAGCATTGTGGGTGGTCACCAAATATTTCGACGAACACAACCATGAACTCATAAATAAGTTTGATCTCGTAAAATTTCTGAGCGCCCACAAAGGATTCACCCCCTCGAGAAGAAATTCATAAAGCTGCTACATGATTGTAACATCGGTCCATCAAGAATGGTCCAGATACTGTCCTTGATCCACAGCGGAGATGGTAGACTGAGTAGCATGCCCTATATACCAGCATACATCACAAAC